AGGCAGATCTCTGTGAGTTTAAGGCCAGTTTGGTTTACACAGCTAGTTCCAAGACAGCCAAGGCTGTTACACAGAGAAATACTGTCTAAAAAATCTTTGCCTGCAAGCCTAAACACTGAACAAAAAAAATCTCCTTTTATATAATTTTAAAAATGGTAAACCGCACAATTGGAAGTTTTGTTTTTATGCGACCAAGGTATACATTTGTTGAGTTTTTTTGTTGTTGTTTTGTTTTGTTTTTCGAGACAGGGTTTCTCTGTAGCTTTGGAGGCTGTCCTGGAACTCATTCTGTATACCAGGCTGGTCTTGAACTCTCAGAGCTCTGCCTCCCAACTGCTGGGATTAAAGATGTGTGCCACCACTTCCAGGCTTACTATTTGCTGAGTTTTAAAAGATTGTCTGTAAAATTTCCCTCTCATCTTTTCCTTTCTCTTCCTGTTTCCTCCCAGCCCTGAAACAAACTAATGCTAGATGCTATACTATATCCATCTTTTTTTCTTATTTTTTGAAATTTTAACTAAAATTACAGTATTTCCCCCTTTCTCCCTCTCCATGTTTCTCCCCTTACTCCCTTTAAATTCGTGGTCTCTCTGATTATTTTTACTTATATATAAATACAGACTGCTGAGTCTATTCAGTGGTACTTGTATGTATGCCTTTGAAAATGCTCTCTTCACCCTATAATATCTTTTCTAACAGAAAGATTTTCAAGGGTTTGCATTTTTTCAAAATACCCTACAAAATTTCAAGATCCTAAAGAAATATCCCTTTAAAGCCTTGTGCAGTACGGTCTTCCCTTCCCAGGTGACATCTGATCAAAGGAAAGGTTTCTTAAGTGGGGGGGGGGTGCAAGAAATAAAACAGGAAGATGGTAAATGTCACTAAATTCAACAAATTTTGTCTTCCCCAGAGAGTCCCTGAAATGGAACCTATTTCTTTCTGCCCCATGAGCTGGAGCTCAGAATCCCATTCATATTGAAGAAGAAACCCTTTCCTGGCTTTTCAATAGCCAAACGAATCAGTGATTACCATCATCTTGGTGTATTATGGTGTGTTACTGACAATCAAAAGGCTTCACTCTGTCCTAAGCACATGAAGGGGTTAAATTCAAGAAAGCACTGCAAGCTCTAATGTAACCATAGAAATAACATGTTGAACACAACACACACCAGGGTGGGACTGCCCCCAAGGGGGAGCCGGGCATTGTGCCAGAGACCTGTGGGGTAACCATCCCTGTTGGTTCTCTACAGGGTTAATAGTAGAGCAGGAGCTTGCATTGCTTAAAGCTGCAGACTAGCCAGCTTGAAGGAGAAAGAGCCTGGCGGGGATCTAAAATGTTTCAGAGTGTGCATTTACCAACAAAATAAAATCACGCTTCACGTTGGAATGTACAAAGTAGAACTTCATCGCATTCAACCTTTCCCTTCTCTTTCTTCCTAAGCTAACAATCAACATATGCAACTTATTAACATAACTGAGCATGAACATTTCTTATTACTGTGCAGGCTTTGTATGTCTGTTAAGTGAACAGATTTGTCTTCTTTTTCCTGAAATATTCATTTGCCTAGTTAACAAAACTTCACTTGCCTCAAATGTTTTCATAACCACCCTAAAGACTCCATAAACTCCATCATGTTGTGAGTGTAAGAAGGATTAGAATGTAGGGAGCATGATGAAAGTTTGCATGGGATTACTTTCCTATTCTTACTTGACTAATTCAGGATATTAAAACCACTTTAGGCATTTTGACAAAAGTCGGTGTAGTTCTTTTTTTTTAACCACTCAAAAGAGAACAATTCTCTATGTTTAGGCAGTTTGGAACTTGTACTTAAGGACATTGAAATTTGGTCTTTGCTCTTTAGTGAAGGGGAGTCAAGGAAGAAAGGTCCCCGTGTTTACCCAATGAATAAATATGCCTCTAGGCAAGGCACTGTCTGCTGCTTTAGTCCATAGACGTTTTAAACATCTATCTTGGCTGCTCCACAATCCCCATGTTAATCACCTCCAGTTCTAATTCAAGAGAATTATTTGGCAAAGTAAATGATCCATGACCCAACCAGAAAGGAAAGATAAAGGCTCTGGAATGGTGAAATTAATGCTGTAAAATCCATGTACTGGAGATTTCTTCCTATGTGAGTCCTTGCTCAAACTAACAATTCTGAAAGTTTATATATCCAATTCAATAATTCAAGGATGATTAGAAAGAATAAATTAAAATTGTCACTACTGGTACAGAGTTTTTATTGCTTTTAACATTTATTAAGTGTGATTGCCTGTCTTAATCTGGTAAGCATCATTGTTTGCTCTCTCTCTCTCTCTCTCTCTCTCTCTCTCTCTCTCTCTGTGTGTGTGTGTGTGTGTGTGTGTGTGATGTGATAAAGTATCACATAGCCCAAATTGTCTCGGAACTCACTATGTAGCTGAGAATGGTCTTGAACTCCTGACAGTCCTGCATCTGTCTCCTGACTGGATTATAGGCATTTACCACTATGCATGTATATTTGACTGCCTATTTGTACTACCCCTACAAAGTTAAATGCTGTTATTAGCTCCATTTCACAGTTGCATAAACTGAGGATTGGACTCTAAATTTTAGAAGGACTAAAAAATTTACCAAATCTGTGTAAATTTAATATAAACAGGCATAAATGTTATGGTGTGGAGGATTATTTAATAGCAAATGAAGTATGAAGAAAAATCCAAGGTTCTAGAGACCATAACACTTTGAAGAGCCTTAATCTGGAGACAGATTACTTTAAAATTCTCAGTAGCTACTGAAGAGCCACATGATGTCACTGCAGTGAAACTAGTTGGTTTGTCTAAATAGGTCGTCCATTAGATAAATGAAATAAGTTAAACTATGCCACAAATCGCCCACTTAATAATTATAAGGGAATAAAACAATGTTATAACTATAACTGTCTCCCTGGTTTTTTTTAATTAGGGAAGGCAATATCAACTGTGATTCTCCTTCTCAGTGGGAAAGAATGCTTCAATGTTCTGAAAATTTAGCACAAATAGAATAAATTGTCTGATAATACTGATGTTTTATGTGTGGCCTACTTTCAAAATAATTGTAAGGTAGATGAGAACAAATTCAATCTGCAAATGATTTTACTACTTTCCTTCTTAAAGCCTCTGCATTCAGATTCAGCTAGCCTGGGTAGTCAACTTGCTGTGGTTTAGGCATATTCCGTTATCAGGATTTGTCCCACTCTGTTAATAAGTGGAGCTGATGATTTTTAAAAGAGACCTCGGACCATGGCTGAATTGGTATGTGATGTGAAGTAGCTTTATATAACTCATTACTGCAGTTAAAATAGCTGTCCCTGATTCTTGCTTAAAACAGCCACGTGGTCCCTGCCCAGCATAAAACTGATTTGGCATGAGAAGACAAAGTCAAATATGAAGCTGAATCATTGTGCAAAAGAGAAGTAAAAGCGGGGTACCTGTGTGCTTCCAGTAGCTACCTGAGCAGCTCAAGGGGGCAGGAGAACCCTGGATAGGTATATTCAGAATTAGTCAAGGACTTTACCGGGTTGTTGCCAAGTGCCTATCAAAAGTTTGCCTCTCTGGCATCCTTACTCTAAGTTGCTTAGACCTGTCCATGGTAAAGATTCTAAGAAAATACTGCAAAGAGAGACCCTTGGGACTAAGTAGGTAGGCAGGAGAAAAGACTGAAGGGACTGTAGTTTGCTTTCTAAGTGAGAATTAAACACAAACGTCCCTGTGTGGATAGAGTACTGGTAAGTTACGTGAGACAGACATAAAAAAATCAAGTCCCAAACCACTGTGGTCATTCAGAAATGTTTGCAACTTTTCACAAGGGTAGTGGTATTACTCCCAATTTCCTGGCCAAATATTTATTAAAGTAACCAAGGACTGAATACATGAGGCTGCCTCACAGGGCTGCAGCATCCCGCAGCATCCTACTTTCCTTCTAGCTCTGAACTGTGAGGTACTGTCAAAAGAAAAAAAAACACTCTTCCATACTCAAAATAGCTACGTTACGGAGGAGAGTTGGAACGTGTTCTGGGAGTGGGTGTGTTTGTTTGAGTTCAGTGTGTGCAGAAAAGGCAAGCCTCCACAGCCATTCACACACTCCTCTCCTCAGCGATGGCTACGCAGACAGGCAGAGCTCCAGCCCTACATCTCTGAATGGTAACGTACATGTATAAAGAGCATTTTGTTAACTATTTTAAGGCATTTTATAAATAATACAATCTGCTAGCTGGATGTATATATATATATATATATGTATATATATGTGTGTGTGTATATATATATGTATCTATTTATTTACTCAACTTTTGCTTGCTTTCTCCTGTGTCTGGTTGTGTGCAGTTACTTGTGTTGTATGATTTCTGAGGTGTGAGAAAGAGTTTCTCCATAATTGCTATGATAGTCACTCAAAACTATCTCTTGAATTGGCCCCAGCACAGAACCTAAAATCCCCATATCACTCTAAACATCTGATTTGGTCGCTGTAAGCAGCTGTTAACATCCAAATGTTACATTGAGATATTAGGCAGACACTAGAAATTAAAAACTATGTAAAACAAAGAAATATGGGGCAATAGTTGCTGATACAATGTTAAGTTTCAAAATAATGCAAACTGACATGGAAAGTCTGGGTCATGTGCTAGTAAAATATCATGGGGTCAGAACAAGTATATACACCCCAGCTCATGAACATGAGCTTGTGGTAAAAGAAACACAGCATAGTTGGACAGATTCTGTTGATTTATACTGAATGAGTGCTTTCCACAGTTTCTGATCCTCAGCTCCCTCTCTCTTCACAGTGTGGCTCACACTTCCCTGTGCTGAGCTCCGGAGGCTCCCAGTGACCTCTTGGTAATCAGCCTTGGCTGGGTCCAAATCCCCACCCCTTGGAAAACTCATGGAGCC